CATTTTAAAAATAAACAAATAATATCAAATAAATGAAAACAACTTGTTGCATATAATTTTGAGTAATTCTGACAGGAAGCGGGCATAGCCTCAGGGCTACATTTCTCTAGTTTTACGAAGCTGTTCTACCTCCTTATTGTACCATGAAGTGGAGAATGTTTATATTTGCATTGCCTGACTCTTGATTGTGTTGTTCCAAAAGTTTATACTGCTCTTTCAAGAGTTCAATAGTTTTTTCTTTCCTTGATGACTTCTTATCATTGTTTTTTCTGGGCGATCGAGAAGCTTTTAAATTTTAAATCTTTCCAAAGCTAGAATAACTTTAGAAAACTAACTAATAAAAACATACAAAAATAATTTTAATTTTAACATACTTTTGGCCAGTCTCTAATCGGTGACCCGTTTACATTTAATTTTGTCGCAATGGATTCCAATCTGATTTAAAATTAGCTGGAAAATTACCTTTGGTAAACCCTTTGGTCAAACATTTTTTTTCCAAATCGGAAACCAACAGTTCAAATTGTTTTGCTGTTGTTATTTTCATGGTCCAATATCAAATACAAATAAGTTACAATATCAATGTCGACTAAAACGTACAATGTCCTCACAATTTTTTACGGCGACTGATTTTCTTAAAAATCGACTTCACGTCGACTGTTGCATCGACAATTATAATGGCAATCATTTGTCGCTATCGACTTCTTTTTGCGACGCCGACGACAACCATAATAGGGCCGATTAATGAAAATTTTCATAGTCTGACATAAGACTAGGGTCTAGGTACATAAGAAGCTTGAAGTCATGGCTAGGCATATTTTGTGACATTTCATACAGGGATTACAGAACCACACTAAAATCCTGCCGTCGTTTTCCATTATGATTTGACATTAATATGCCTAGCCATGACTTCAAGCTTGTTATGTAGTTGCACCTTAAGACAGAGCTACTAATCGATTTTAATTTTATTATTAGCTTTGCTTAACCTGTCAAATTTTGTTTGCATGCGTGTGTATTCTTTTTAATTATATGATTTTTTTAGAAAAATGTAAAGTAGAGCTACCAGCTGATTACAATTTTTTTCTAAGTGTGCCCGACTTCTGCCAATTTTGTGTATGTATTAATTGTTTTGAAATATAAAAACAGAATATTTTTAAAATCAATGATTGAAAGAGGAGTAAATTGCAAGACGCGCATTAAAGCTATTCGTCAGTTTTGTCATGGAATTGAAAGATAAAACTGTTTAGATCTTATCTTTATATCATGTAAGAAGCAGACTTATAATGGAGTGGGTACATAACATGGTAGAAGAATACAGGAAGATGCATCAACGCTTGGGGACATTGATGTGTCAAAACTTTTTATAAGTTTCTTCAAAAATAAGTATATTTGTACATGTTTTCCTACAGGATGCCAATCGGAGGTTTTTATGGTATGTATTTTTTTAAACAATTTTTACAAATTTGTATTCTTCTACATAAGCAGCTTGGCATACATGGTAATCTCATGCTATCATATGCTATGTTCTCATTGCACTTTCAATCAAGTTGTTTGCTCTCAGAATTAGGTACACGAATTAACCCGTTCATACGGCACGATTCGTAATTTATAGTAAAAAAATACCTTTTTCAAAATTTTTGTTTTTTTTGATTTCAATGGGAATTTATACGAAAATACCTGAAATTCTAACTAATATGAATAAAAGAAATTATTGTTTTCCCCCAAAAATTTATTATATCATTAATTTGAGAATTTTCATTCATGTTTTCAACTTTTTGTGTAAATGTTGACATTTTTCTATTTTTAAATTCTGCTGGAGAAACACTTGAAACATTTTTTCTGCCAATACAAACATTTTGAAAATATTTTTTTTCTGTGAAAATTTCAACTCGTGGACAAAATCCGTACCTCGGATGAGAGAGAAAACAAAATTTACTTTTGTTTGAATGTACATACGCCATTCAACATTGTAATTTTCATTCATAATATTCAGTCTTCCCAAAATTTTTTAAAATTTCATTAAATTTTTTTATTTTGAATTTTTAAATGTCATAATTTTTTTTTTCGATAAATGCTTTCATTTGTTAGGTATGGCAAACATTTTATCTTAGCCCTGAGAGTGATTTAAATGGAACAAAGAACAAAAATCTTTGTTCGCTCAGCAAATTTTGTGCAGGGAATTAAGTAGATATTTCTTAATTAATGGTCGAACAAGAAATAGAGAGCGAATCACGTGCCATATGAACTTTATTTAAATCTTTTATTTTATGTCCCTTCATTGTCAAATTAATATTTTGTAGTATTTCCTTGAATATGAGAGAGCAGCTGGCAAGAATTTTGTATCTATTTCAGACCAAATATTTTGTTATTTTCACGCCTTTTAGATTGCATAAAAGTCAAGGAAGAATATAATCTTAAATAGAAAACTAAAATATTCTTATTAAAATTGTTTTCTGGGTAAGTTCAACCGGTTATGTGAACCAAAGCTTTTTTAAATTTAACAGTTGTTGCAAATAGCCGGCCTTCGGGCGGGCTTGAGGTTTTCTTTTCAAAGTTTTCTAAATTTCACACTTTTTGTAAAAAGCTGGCTTTCGGCCGGGGCTTGATATCTTCTCCTCTGGGTATGTCGCATACGCGAGCCAAAGTTTTCTACATTTGAAACTTTTTGTAAGTAGTCGCCCTTCGTCCGGGGCTTGAGATTTTCTCCTCTGGGTATGTCCCAAACGCAAACCCGAGTTTTCTAAATTTGATGCTTTGTAATTCCAACGCCGGCTGCGCGAAATAAACATTTTTCTTTGAAAACATAATTTTAATGAACTGGTTAGAATCGGGTTATGCGGGTGGAAAGACCCATATCTCTGGATCTAGAAAAGGTATTAGCACAAATTGTAGGATTTTGGAAAGGTAAGAGTGTCGACAATAATTTGGCATCAATTCAGTTGACTCCCATAATGGGCCCTTTTTCAACTTTTTGAGGATTTTATAAAAACCTTGGACACGGTTCCATCAATAATTTGACTATAACTTCCGAACCGCTTAAAAGTTATCATGTGACCACTTGTTGGATATGTATTTTTATAAGCTTTCCAAACCTATATTGTCTACATCAGGTAAGTAGATCCGGATCTATTCGGGGTGTTGAACACGGATATTCGGATAAAAAATCTGAAATCCCGGGCCCGTCCCCCAAGAAAAAATATTTCCCAGGATCAGTGTAAAAATTCCTAACAATGGAAAAAATGTAATTTAATTTAATTAAAGAGTTTTTACTAAACTAGAGTTAAGCCTTATCTGCTATATGCGCATATAAGAAAACTGACAATTTTTTGTGAGTTATCATATGTGTGGTCTATTGTATATGATTTTCAGTTTTACAAACCAATTTTTGATCATGGTTATCAGTTTTATAAGACAAATTTATGTTTATTTTCCCACGTCTATGACTTACGACAACAAATGTTTATTTGGTTGTTGCTGTAGCCGCTGATTGTTCTCAACCGGGTTCTGCCTCTAAGTCCAGTCTCAAAAAGAGTTATGTGAGTAAGTTTGGCTGGACAGCGAAAAGGTGCATCGTGCCATGTGGACCTGTGCCAGAAGCTGGGCAGATGTTCTACATATCGCTGTCGATCTAGGCCCAATTGGAATTGAGGCGGCTGTACCATCCGGATCTTAATTGAGCCAACACTATTCGGGTTTGTAGGGTCAACTCTCGCACTTCAGCTGCGATGGGAAGGGGTGCTCCATAACTTCAGAGAACGCGTTAGAGAAAATACTATTCAGTCCCGCTTGATAGGCCTGTTGATCTAGAGGCTCTCTCTTATACCTTTGTACCTCGCTCTCTAGATCATGAATGTCTTTCCTTACAGGTATTGCATTGACAGCATTTTATAATGTTGTCGCACCGGTAAGATCTTCGCCTCCTCTTTACAACTCCATCGACCTGTGGTGAAAAGTATGGCCGTTGATTTAGTGGCCGATATCTTCATATCCTTCGCAGTGAAAAAAAGCAGTTAGATCAACTATGTAAGTATGTAACCGATCGCATATGTCATCTATGACGAGGCCGGACCCAACGAGCGTACAATCATCTGCGTACGTTAAAGGCCGGTTATTACATCTTTACAATTGATAAAAAAAATGCATATTGTCGGATAAATAACTAGTTTTTCGTTATTACAAGTTTCATTTAAATATGAACTGTCAGATAAGCAAAAGGTCAGACCATATACTTTCATTCATCTATCTTAACGTAAAGTTTACTAATTCATGTATCCAAATTTTATATTGATAATATGGCAATACAAGCAAAATGTATTGGATAACGCAATTTTTTGGCCTTTTCCAGAACTGCAAGAATGTAAAAATGTTTACTTCCATAACCGATTCGAGAAAAAATGCAATTACAATTGCAGAAATAGTAGATTGGAGACTTATTTCACGAAATTAATTACATATTCGTTTTGTTTATTCCTTTTAAACTAAACTTAAGATACTATTGTGAAAAAAATGCAGTGACCATCAGCCACATTTACAAATGATTACTCAATTTATTGCCATATCGCTGAAAAAATCCGATAATGTGAACTTTATCCTTTACATTTCCTATAGCAAAGGATAACAAAACTGAACTATAAAGAAATTATATAAAAACGGGCCATAAAGTACTATAACTTTTTAAGAACATCCAATATAATCAATGGAAATATATATGTAAATGTAACTAAAGGATATAACAAAACACATGCAAGTGTGTGATAGCAAGAATTATGAGCCATATGTAAAATCGCAATTTTAACAAACACGCAGATGTACACGTGGATAATAAAAGTGCAGCCGCTTAAAAACGGATATATTGTAAATGTATATTGTTTATTTAAAAAAAGTTGGCAACTCCATCCGACAGATTGTCCTCTCTTTCCCTTAGAAGATATTATACCCATCTCTTTCAATTTTGAAATCACGCCAACCTTCCCAATGCTGCCAACATTTAAAATACAATCTTCTTGTAGATGTACAATATTTTTCTCTTCTTAAACTAAATGAAAATAAAAGAGTTTTAGTGTTTAAAGTGTTAAAGTATTTTCAAAGGCATCTGTTAAAAAAATAATTTTAGACTGCCTACTCTACGATTTGGAAGGTTTTTTTTTCTGATTTTAGACACTTTGAAAAGCAAAAATTTGTGAATAATGACAAACATTTGTATTGAAGATAATTAAATAATACATTTGAACTCGAAGCATTCAAAACATCCTAGTGGTTGGTTGAACAAAACAAGTAAACAAATTTCAAAGGATATGTGGAATGTTGGTTTATCAGAATTCTCCCAAACGTTTCAATGAAACATATTAAGACCTTCAAATAAAATTTTTGGAAAAATCTTAATTCTGTTCTTGTGGGGTGTAGAAATACTAAAACATGAGTGGTCGTGGGAGTCGTAAAAGAGGAAGACCGCCAAAGACTCCAAATGAAAGAGCAGCTGGTAGCAAATTCAATTATCAGCTTCTCAAAAAGCCAAAATATTTGAGCAAGAATAGTGATTCTCAAAGCACGCCGTCGGTTTCGCGGGCATCGTCACCACAGGAAAGCGATGGGAGTCGAAATAACAAAAAAAATGCAAACAGGAGTCGTGGCCGTGGAAGAAAATCTAATGCAACTACTTCATATTCCAATAGAAAAAGTAGGTTGTTTAAATATTTTCAATTCGCCAATATTTTTGGTATTAGATTGATTAGCATTCACAAATCTACTTAATCTCTCCACCATATTTTAGGTTACGAATCCGAGTACCACTATGGTTCTGATTTTGGCGACTCAACAGACAAAAGCGATGACGAGGATATTCTCATGTCTCACTCTGAGGAAGAAAGCATAGATGGAGCAAATGAAAGTGAGTCAGAATTTTCAATATGCAGCTTTAATCAAAGTGGATTGGGAAGACCTCCACGACCTCCTAGTCCTGATCCAGTATGGTTACAAGATCGAGAATATGAACCATTAGTGCTGCCAGAATCGTCTCACGATTTGCCTATAGAAGGTGTTATGATAATGAAAGCTCTGGGAGTGTACGAAGTTCTGAGGAGATTTCGACATTTGGTGCGTCTGTCTCCTTTTCGGTTTGAAGATTTTTGCGCCGCACTTGTTTGTGATGAGCAGAGTGCTTTACTCACTGATGTACACATAATGTTGCTCAAAGCAATATTGCGGGAAGAAGATGCTCAAGGCACGCATTTCAGTCCCTTAGACCAGAAAGACACAGTTAATATTAGTTTATATTTAATTGACCCCATTACATGGCCGGAAGTTTTAAGAAGTTACGTTGAGAGCGATGGACTTTTTGACCGTGCTATATTTAGCATTTTATCAAGTGGTGAATACCCCTACACTGGTATCGAAGATCGAATTCGAGTCTTGCAGTTCTTAACCGATCAGTTTTTAACAACAAACGCAATACGTGATGTAATGTTGCAAGAAGGTCCCATTCATTACGATGACCATTGTCGCGTATGTCATCGTTTGGGTGACTTACTATGTTGTGAGACTTGCCCTGCAGTTTATCATTTGGAGTGTGTTGAACCGCCAATGTTGGATGTTCCTACCGAAGATTGGCAGTGTGGCATTTGCAAAGCGCACAAAGTGAGTGGCGTAGTGGATTGTGTGCTGTCTCATGAAAAGCAAGGTGTTTTAATTCGGCATAATGTACTAGGGTTAGATCGGCACGGTAGAAAGTTTTGGTTTATAGCAAGAAGAATTTTCGTGGAAGATCAAACGGGAGAGCAATTGTGGTACTACAGTACAGTTTCCAAGTTTGAAATACTTTTAGGCCTTCTGGATGGAGAGGATTTGGAAGCCCAACTCTATTCTCAACTAATAGAATTGAGAGATGAAATTATAAGGCAATTTAAAATTACGGAGATGCTTACAAATGAGTACAAAAGTAATAAAAAATCCTATATTGAAATGGAAAACAAGCTTCTAAATAAGGATTGTGATAACACTGAAAACGATGAAAGTAGCAATGATGTACCTAACGATACTTCAAAGCTTTTTGCAGAGAGCAAAGTTATCACAAGGCAAAAGTCAACACAAATAGCTAGCGGCAATCAGTATTTTAAGCTTGGAATGGAAAATTCTTTCAAAACATACGTTAATCAGTATACCTCGAATCCAATAGCATTGAATAAACCACAGCGAAATGAGGAAAGAGATAAGAGAAGGCATTTATCGCATAAATTTTCGCTTACAACCGCATCGGAATTTAAATGGATTGGTGTTACTATGGGAACCGTGGATAATATAATATCAACACTGCGCCAAACGCTGTTATCCTTCGAGCAAAACATAGCGTCTCCATTCTTAAACCCTAATTGGAGCTCTTTAAAAAAACTTTGGAGTTCTGCAGTAATGTCATGTCGAACGGCGTCTGATTTTGCACAAGTTCTCCTCTTATTTCAAGCTTCCATTAAGAATGTCGTTTTCGCCAATGTATGGCATGAACAATTGGGTCATACGGCGCTAATGCGTATAACAGCTGCTGAACGCGAAGACCGTAAGAAAATTGAAAAGCGCGAAAAAAGAGAAAGGGATGACGAGGAAGAACGTTACCGTATGGCTTTTAACTACATAAAGTATACGCTGGGCCTAAAACATCAAGTGTGGAAGCAGAAGGGAGAAGAGTATCGTGTACATGGCCAGTGGGGATGGATGTGGCTATCATCAAGTCGCCGTTGTGGCCGATTGCGTCGTTTGAGGATTCGTGATCAAGCCATGCTACCGTACAAGATAAAAGTCCACTACTCAAACGGGGATGAAGTGAATGAAATTGTGACGGTTGATCCGCGTACGTACAAATTTATGTTGCAATGTGAACATAATTCTAAGCAAGGACATGACTACTACTACATGGAAAGTTATAAAAATGTGAAGGTACATTCGATTGATAACTCACAGATTGGTATAATAGATGTGTCAAAAGCCCTTTCGACTCCTGGGAGACTTTTGTTCCCAAAGGTGGGTAGGAAGTCTTATTTAGATGACTTGCTGTCTCGACGCATACAGCTTAAAGAAGCCGAGGAATTAACTTCTCTAAAAGTTGAGGACAGTGCTGTTTGTGATTCAAAATCATTAATTGCTAATATCACCGGAATTTCTGCATCAAGCGTTTGTCAAACACAATCTACGGCTCTCGAGAAAAGACTACTTCGTTTGGTGGAGTCACAAAAAAGTGGAATTTCTCAGAATAATACATCAGTCAATTTGGACCTTGTCAATTCCTTGGCCAAAAAAATTCAAAGTGTGAGACTTCAGTTTAGTCAGCTTAATCGATTTGCAAAGCAGTACCGTTGCTACACTAAAGAGTGTAACACAAATTCTAACGCTGTTTCTCAGATAACGCAAAATACTTGCTACTCCCCACTTTGTCTACAAAAAGCTCGAGCAAAAAAGGAGCTCTTGCTCCTACTTCGTAAAGCTCATGCCGCGGGAAAAGGTTCTAAAGAAACTGTTGCAGCAATACTAGGAGCTGTAAAGAAACCATCCATTCTTGAGCAAAAATTAACTGAAGGGAAAAAGGATTTATCGTCTTCTTTAGATGAATATGATGATCAAAAAGCGCTTGACGATACACCAATGGATTTAATAAGCGATTGGGAGCAGGCTCGTAGTTCAGCAATCCCCTACGATGACAAAAGTTTGTTCGAATGTTTTATTAATATGGATGATACAATGACTGACAAAATAAAATCCGAAATTGATAATGTAGATAACAGTTCTACTGTTTTTGGGGGCGATGAGAAGATTGATTTCATAGACAACATGGATGTTTGTAGTAATGTAGAGATAGAGAGCTCCGAAACTACAAATGACGGATCATCGACAACAGTAGCAAATATTGGCTCCATGGATGAATGTGTTGATTACCAACAAGCAAAAAAGTGTAAAAAAGGTACTAAAGCAAGAAATAAAGCGTACATTGGTACCAAAGACGTACTTGACCAGACATTGGTTATGGATGTTACACAAAAGAAACAAAATCGTAGATTTCCTATTCTCCCGCGTATTACAAAGCGAGAAGAGATTAAGTTTGAAAAAGAGTTCTATCCCAATGGAAAAGAACGTATTTATGGGGCAACTTCTACAAGAGGTAAGGTGTACTTGCACCGTGACATCACAAAACTTAAAATCAATGTAGATCAAAGCGATGGAAAAGATGCAGTTTCGGCAAGGCAAACAAACAATTCAGCATATTCTAAATTTCCCCTCATATCGAGTTTCTTAACTCATAAACATAAAAAAAGTTTATTCGTTTTACCGCGCTACGAACTATTGCGCATATCCCGGGTTGGAGGGAAAGTTCCTGCTAATGGTTTTCATCATCTGGCAAAAAATAATCAACTGGTGTGGCCATATCCTTGCTCCAGACCACTTTTTAAAACATGTTGGTCGTTTAGAACGTCAAATGTAACTACACTTTCAGCTGTAGCTCTACAGCTTAGAATATTATGGTCATGTTTACGGTGGGATGATATGATTGCAAAACCCCCATCAGCAGATGGCAAACACCAAATGAATACGGAAACAGAGATAGTAACATTAGAACTTCTTAGACTAAGAAATTTTGGTAGATATGGTGAAAGAACACAGTACCTAAGACGAAAGATTGTTATACCATTGGAAATGCCGAAAACTATTAGAGGTAAAGTCTTTGTAGTTAATTGTGTGGATACAGCTATATTTTAAAGTTTATTTTACAGAAGTTACCTCTATACGGTCCGGCTTACGAAAAAGGAAACGAGCGGAGTCACCTCAGCCGACGGAACCCCAAGTCTCGGAGGAATGGGTAGAGGAAGACAAGTTGGAATTATGGGAGATAAAATTCATTGGCGAAAAAATGGAAAAGGCAAAATTGATGGCAACGACTCGATCTATAACTCAACAAAGACAAAATGACTTGTCTTCGGGTAATGGTGGACCTTTAAGCGCAAACGGGGGTCTCAACAAGAGCCTTGTTGTAAATAAAACTACAAATGAAGAAATAAAGGAAAAAAGCGATCAGCAGCTGAAAGTCCAAAGAATTTCAATTAATTCACAAAAAAGGATACCACAGGAACCCGTATCAAGGCCATCCACTGCACAAGGTAAATAATTTTTTATATTTTTTTTATTGACGTGATTGATATGCCCTATATACTTTAGCTAAAGGTCAAATAATTGGAAGCAGGCGCGTAATTGTAAAAAATCCTGATGGTACAACAAGAATAATACAACAAGCCGTCTCCTCGCCTGTATCTAGGACGAATAGCGCTGTTAATACAAATGTAGCTTCTACATCAACGGCTACCTCAACTACTAATTATGTTCAAAGTACATCCACAACCAATCAAACATCTAACAGTTCTCTTAATGTTACGCCTTCATCACAGCCAAGTCCGCAGCAACATAAAGTTCAGATTATACGAGGTCCTGATGGCAAAGTTAGTGTACGAGGTCTTAGTCCCGGTCAACAATTAATTCAAATGCCTGACGGGAAACTACATGTTCTTACCACAACAAATTCATCTGCTGGTACATCTACCGGCCAAAGTAAGTCACCGTTTGTCAACATTAACAGAATAATTATTTTTTTTATTTATTTATGTTCAATTAACACAGTTACCTAGCCCATAGGGCTATGGACGGTTTCTAAAACGTCTATGCATGACTACTCTAAAATTATTTATAATATTCTTAATCTTAAAGATCTAAAGATCATAATTAAAATTATATTTGAATTTGTTATTTTATTATTATCTTTTTAGCTACGTTAACAAAGAAATTACCAGTAAAGGCATCAGCAGTAGCTCAAGCAAGTAGTAGTCCGTCAATGATGAAGCAAGTAACCGTAAAACAAATATCGAAAAATAATCAAGGTACCGGAATTCATACTGTACAGAAGGTGGGGCTTTTTTTTGTTATGTTTTATGTATTTGTATAAAACTACATCAATTTTACAGGTTATATCAACACCTATAAGAACCACTACAAGTAAATGTACTAATCCAACGTTAAATCAAAATAATTCAACGTCCCCGATAGTTCAGGAGTCTAATATATTGCAATCTACTGGAGCAAACACAAGCAAAGTAATAAACAGCAACAGTCAGGGAATGCAACAAATGATAGTACAACCCGGCCAGAAATTGCTGTTAGGTCAAAATGCTCAGGGTCAGAAAGTTATAATTCAACCCTCACAGCAGCAAACTACCGCCGCTCCCCTATCGAATATATCACAGACTGTTCAAACACAAGGAACAAGTAACCCGGTTGTAAATTCAAACACTAGTGGCGGATGTCAGCTAAACTTAGAAACGCATACATCGCAAAAAGTCATACAACAAATAGTAAATACAAGCAATGTTCAGCAACAAATTGTTGTAGGCGGCCAAAGAATTATACTCAGTCCAGGACAAACAATTGTAACTCAACGATCCGTACCGGCCCAAAATGCTGCCGTTCAAGTAATACAGCCTTCAACTCAGAAAAACATAGCACATCCACCTGGCAATGTTGTACAAAACTCGGAAGGTACCGCCAAAATTGTTAAGCAATTGGTGGTTCAGCATCACGGACCGCAGGCGTCTAATTCCGTTGAAAATCGTAACTCTCTAAAAACGTCCCAACATACAATAAGCACAAACTCTACTAATACAACAACTTCGAGTATAGCAAACAATCAGCAACAAATTATTGTACAGAACTCGGCCTTAGCGCAACAATTAGCGCAAGGAAAATTACAGGTCGCAACAATAAATGGACAACAAGTAATAATAAAACCATTGGGAAATAATAAAGCTCAAATTGTAGCCCATATAAAAACACAAAGCGATGGAAACTCACACATTGTGACGAACACACCAATGGATAACCAAATTTCTCCAACAAAGACTACACCACCACCAACGCAACAAATCCATGAAGTAAGTAAATTACAGATATTTATATAATTATTTCAAAATTGTTCACATATTTCATTCCAATATTTAGGAAACTCAACAACCTTTACCCCAAATTATATCTCAACAACAAAACCAAACTTCGAACCATTCATTGTCCATAGAAGAAAGTCTTTTGCAGGGGCAGCCTCCTGGTACTGTCATTAAATGCGTGACTGCTCAAGTGATACAAACCGATCAAGGACCTCGAATAGTATTGCAAGGTCTTGTTGGCAATGACTTCACGCAACAACAACTGGCTTTAGTACAACAACAAGTTAAACAACAATTATTAAAAGGTAAAATTATTATTTCTTGAGTCCGGCAGTTATAAGATATAATAAATACTATAATATTCTCAATATTTTTGTCTTATAAAATCAAAGGCAACCAATGGTTTGAAGGTTTAATAAAATAATTCAAACCTCTAAAAATTTCGATAACGTGTAAAAAATATGTTTATGAAAATATGAATAAATTTTTCATCTAATTTGGTTGGAAATTGTGACAGAAACTTTAAAAATACCGAAAAGCAGAAGGTGCCGTTATATGGCAGCTTGATCAATTAGTGGACCTGTAGCGAATATTTTTGTAGGGAGAGAACAGACCTACCAACAACCCCAAATGTAAAGTTTCATCTAATTTGGTTGGGAATTGTTTATTTTTATAGCCCATTGTAGAATTTTACGCAGATCAAGAATATATATACTTTTTGGGGTCTCCGACGAAAATTTCGAGGTGTTGCAAACGAAATTACACATTTAATATACCCTCCATTGTATAGTGAGGATATAAAAAAAATATTGCAACAAGAATATAGGTATTGTTTTATATATATTTATATAGATTTTATTTAATTCTACTAGTAATTTGTATAGCAACTGGTTTGCTGTCGCGAAAGATAATAATTTTTATTAGTTTAAAAATTCGGTTCGAAAATATTAATATACTTAAAAGAGTTTAATTCACGTATTCCTTATTATTATTTTTTTTGTTTTCTTTAGAGACAACTTGTGCCATCAGTATATTAATATATATCTTCTGTGACTTTTTTATTAAAAAAATTAAGTGTCCTTTTTTAAGTTTTCAAAATTTCTTGATTCAAATATGTTTGTTACTATCTACAGTAATAAACAATTTTTGAAATTGCAATAAAAGTTGAATTTCTCACAGAACAAAAGAAAAACAATGAAAAATGTAAATTACGCCACTACAATTTCAAAAATTTCATTCATAATTGTTTTTTGCTTCTGTTGTAAAACTTGGGTCACATTGGCAAACTTTGTTCTTTTGACAACTAACACATGAAATCAGTTGGCTTTTGCGATCCCAGTATTATGACTTTTTTTTTAAAAAAGTCGAAATAAAAACTATGTTTGTGTTTAAAATTATAACTTTTACTTAATAAAACAAATAAAAAAATACATGAAATGGATATAGTGCTAATAAACTCAATATAATCTATAACGAATATTTTTGTTAATTTAAGACTATTAATATTGTTTTGCAGCGCAAGAATCTAGCGGCAAACAAGGAGTCCTTGGGCCAACGAAAATATATTTAGCAGTGCAGCCCTCTAACGCTAGTGGTCAACCTCCACCGCTAACGCCAGTTCATCAAACACAACAAGTGAGTAGTTGTTAAATATATAAATAGGGAGATGTAAACAATCGATGCGATTTATCAAAAAAGCCAGACATTTCAGTGTGACTATTGCAAAACGTGTGTTCGCCATCTTGTCGATTTTTGACAAAGATTCAAGAAAGCATTGCACTTTTCAATTAAATATCACAAGGACAACTTTAATGTGCTTACATTAAAAACCAATTGTCTAGATTGGTTTTAATTCCTACCATATGTTCGTTACCCTACTAGTGTACAATATAAATCTCTATAAAAACAAAACTTTTCACAAAAAAAGAAAAAAATCGTGTCGATTCAGTTCACATTGCATGACAAAATAAGTCTTTATCGCCAATAAGAAATGCAAAATCGCAATTTCTTAACATTCAGATTAAAAATACTTGAAGACTAAGAATTTACTGCTTATAAATATCAGATTTTCATTTTAGTAATGCGTCAAACATTAAAGGTATTAAAAGCTAAAGAAAGAATCACTCAAAATAAATTTTGCATTTCAAATGACGATAGCATCTTAATATACTATTCAGTATTGAAATTCATATTTATAAGGAACAGGAAAGTCACCAAACTATTTTTATATTATATATTATAGATTTTAAAAGTTCTAACTTTTCGAATGTATATACATTAAATTGTTAATTAATATTATTTTATTCCTATTTAAGAAATTTCTAATTTAAGTGAAACTGTTCCAAATTTTTTATTTTTAATGTTTTTCTCTGTTAACGTATATATTAAATTTGAGGCTTACGATTGTTTTAGTTTTTTTAATACTCTATTTTTACAAAATGCACATTGACTCGCTGTTGGAATCAAAGTTATTGTACTTGATTACATTCCGTTTGAGGACGGGCGTGTTACCAAACAATATAATGTTGTTTAACGTCTAAACAGTGAACCAACTGATTTTTTATTATTAATAGCTTTTGTATAAGTTTAATAAGCATTAGTTTATTTACAAATTGCACTAGTTTTGTGTCCTATATTTTAGTTCAGTGATTTATTTCGTGTCGTCTTTAATTTAAGAAATTCCGAGAAAATATGTAATGTAATATAAAGCGCTTTTTGCAAATAAACTTATTGATGACTTAACAATACCTGAATTGTTTTTTTTACAACATCGCATGTTATTCTGTTGTTCTTTAGTTTTCGGGATCGAAAAATATGTAAATTATTCCAATATTTGATTTTGTTGAACATTTGGTGCACTTTCAGTAAACCATTATTTAAATTTATTAAATGTATATTACCATTTCTTTTTTTGAACTGTTCTAATTTGACATAAACAAACATGAAGTACATAAATGTATACCTTTCCGCATTAGTTGGATGATTATTTGCAATTGGCCTTTGTGTTCACAAAAAGCGCTCGCTAAATGTAAAGTTTAAAAGATTCTGATTTGGAAATGCAATTTGTAGGCACAAAATGAAAATTTGTAATTTCTAATGCATCTATGTATGTAAACTAAACAAAATTTGTATATAAAATGTGGCCATCCAAGAAATCTTTAAAGAATTTTGAAGAGATTAACTGTCATAATTGGATAGCATATAATATATAAATCATTAAAAATCTTTTGACAACACAAAGGCTTGTTCATGTTTAATCATCTCATCTAAACGAAAGAAGTTTAAAAAAAAATAACTAAGAACTTTAAATTTTCACACAAGCGTCAAATATATAACATCATAACATTTAACTTATTGCTGATCTCTTCGAAACATTTTTTAAAGGTTTCCTGGAATAAGTACTACAACTGATCCCATTTTAACACTTTAATAAGGTATGTCTGTATGATGGCATATTTACATGGAAACATTATAAATCATCATAGTCCTTTATTCTCAAGCTGAGAAATCGTAAATATCTTAACGTTTTTGAAATTTATAATGTTTCCTAAAGTAGAACTCAAACAACATTCTTACATTTGATATATAAGCACAATGGGTTTTTGGCTCAAACTAAACATGAATTTGTTCTACTTTTCGTAGACGACCTACATAACAAAAACAAAAGCACCAATCGAAAAATGCAATAATGCTTCACAACAAAAAGTTTCCAGTAGCAACAATATCAACTATAATAGCCGTTTAAGTAAAGAAGCTATCAATTCTGGAATAATAAATACTTCGGTATCAACTACAGAAACATCCGATATTAAGCTTGATGTGACATCTCAATATATAGATTTCTCTTCAGATATTCTGAGTCGAAGTAAGTTCAATTATTTTTAATTTATTTTGAGTGTTGGTTCGTTGACCTTACTTGTTTTTTTTTAAAGTAAGATTTGTTGAGCTTGATGTCATTGTTAATTTTATATTTTATTGATAACAATAAAATAATCCCAATGCTTCGCAATTATCAAATTTCATTTTCAGGGGTAATAATAGTCAGAATTACCTAACAGCTAATGCAGTTTTACACCACTGTCTGCTTATGTTATTACAACAACAACACCAGATAATTGTAGTAAAACTACATTAGCTGTTAGGTAATTTCGACTACTATGTAAACATAAAACACCTGAAGATGCGATTTGATAATTGCAAAATATTGAAAAGCTCAACAAATCGTGTTATTTTTGATTTAGCTAAAATGCAATTAAATTCTTTTTTCTCAGGTGATAATTTTATACGAAATACAGATAACATTACTTTGGACCTTAAAAGTCTAAATACATCTGTCTCAAGTTCTTCTCAAACCAACGATTCTAGCAATCGAAAACTAAAGAAAAGTAATGAAAATGATGGCCTGCGCGGTACTCCTCCCATCAAAAAAAATAAAAAAGAGAATAATATGGAACCAGCTTTAATTCCCAAATTGGAAGGCGAATACAATTGTAACGCAACAAAAAATGATCTAAATAGAACAAATTTATTGGTAAGTTTCATTATTAAAAATAACATAAAAGAAAATATCTATCAAGCATGTTGCGGGAAGGAATTTCGACAGTGGTATTAAATTCTTATTTAAAACTACTTTTGATTTTGCAAGTGAAATTATGGTTTTATGGGAACTTGCATCTTTAAAACAATCGTAAAATACTTGCAATTTGTTTTAATAACAAATACACAATTAAATTTACATTTTTAATCTTTAATTTAAAATAATTCCCAAATTTTGTTTCTTAGTTGAAGAAGCCAATTACAAAGACCTAGAAGTATAAGCAATTAAGCCCAAAATTTTGTTTACAGAAAATTTTATTCGCAAACTTGGTTTTTACACCGAAGACAAAAATGTAAAGATTGGATGCGTATAGTCATTTAATTTGTCTATCAGGTAATATATGACAGACGTCATGACCAAATCACCCGGACAAATTGCAAATACATTAAATGGTCACTTCTGAAAATTACAGTGATGCTGATAGCCAAAAAATGTAGCCCATCAATGAGCTACGCCAATAAATAGCAACACATTACAAAAAGATTTAGCCGAGAGAGCTAATGCAGTGAGCACTGAAGCTAAAATGAAATTAGCCTTAGCATCAAAATAGCTCAGCACCAAAAAAGCAACATGACTGTTGCTGCTTAGCTCGGTTTTTAGCCAACAGAAAAATAATCACTTGTGAGTTCAGTGTTGCTTTTAAAAATTTTATCCTATGAATTTATTTCAGTTTTGTGAGATATTATTCAACATATTTAGAAAAAATATTGGTAAGTAACAATTCAAAAATAAACTTAGATTAGCTGACGAGCTCGAAAACACATGTACGTGTTTTATTAATTTGTACATTGACAACACACAATCGTAAAAATATGTTTTCGACTGCTCATTCGGCTAAAACGAAAATAGCTGCAGCCGAAATCCGAGCTATTTCTTATTTTGTGTGCTGAAAATTTAGCTTTATTTTCGCTTAGGACTAAACAAAAATAGCTCGCTTATTAAAAACGAGCTAACTAGCTATGCACTGAGCTAAATAGCTGATCATGTGCTATATTAGCCGTGGCTGTCAATATTAAATAGCAGTCGCTACCTATTCTTACGATTACGCTATGAATTCTTATTGAAAAAAAAAAAAATAATGTGCTGACACATCTCCTTAATTAAAAATACACTTTGATTTCTAATTTTGATTATTGAGGAATACTGTACATTTTTGCTCTGTTTCAAAATTGCAAAAACTAGTAAATTCTTGCAGGTTCTGGAACATAACATTTGTCAAACGTATACCTCCGGTATAAATTAAAAAGAAATCTACTTCAATTCAGTTAAAGAAAAAGTTACAAAATATATCAATGAATTTTGGGGTTATTCTACAGGGTTGAATCTAATATATATTTTTTTTATTCAAAACAATACACGCACATACACAAAATGTGTATATGTTTTGACAGAATAAGAGCACGAAAAGAAAAAAATCATTTTAAGGGGTAGCTTTGTTCTACCTTCAGTTATTTTGCCATGAGTATTATATACAGAACGCAATTATCGTCCGATTCTCACGAAATTTTGCTGGGGGTTGGGTAAGGGTCAGAATTAAAGCCTATTGTTTTTGTAGATGTACATTTTTGGGGGTTCAAATGGACCAACAAAAAAACATTTTCGTGATTTTCCTGTCGCTCTACAGTTTACAATTGAAAACCAATTGACACGAAATTTTGCATAAGAAGAGAGTTAGGGACAGGAAACACGACGGAGTATGTAATATTCGACAAATGCCCCTGGTCAAAAAGCTAAGGGTAACATCTGGGCAAGGCTCTATGACATCATTTCAAAACGAAGTCATTGCTTGTTATATTATGTCTTTGTCTCTGCTGTGAGCAGGCCTTCACAGGAATTTATTTATAAGTTACAACTAAAATTGTTATTAAAATACAATACACTGGAGTAGGACAAGAGGTCCGAAGCATCTATTTAATTTATTCGCCGTATTTTTTACTATTGTGTTGATTATTTGCGCCTCAATTACGGAATCAATCGAAGCTCCCGGCATTGTGTGAAAATTAATAGAATATTTTTCTCAATTTCCTCTTCTACACTGTTTTTTGGATCATATGGTTCATTTTGATTCCTTTCATTCCTCTAATGTTGGAATATTTAGACTGAATAATACGATTTTTGTAATTTACCAGATCGCGTTGTATGATATATATTTTTTTTCAATATTAATCATCCTAATCATCTGTATAAAGTTTAAAAGATTGGGTTGGAACGACAGAGCTCATCGCGTTTTTTTATCCCACGGCAGTGGTTTCTACGATATCGGATTGATCCGAAACGACAACATCACAGTTTCGGCAAGCGGCTGCCAACCCAGTATGTATTTGTTCGTGTTTGTCTATTTTTCTGCATTGGGAGCAGCATATCCCGGAAATCTTGCTCGGAATTTATTGGTCCGTGCCGAGATTGAGGATAACCCCGGACCTTGGTTCTGCTCGGTTTATCAAAACGTCATCCACCATAACCGCCTGATACCAGAGGATTTTATTGCCTAGAGGATTATGACCAGAGGGCCAGAGCAGATTGACTGCTCCACATTCTGCACTGTAAACAAGGATGCCCTCACCCGAATAAGAGGAGAGTATCACAGTTCGCCAGACTTAACCATAGTGTCACCCTTTCTGTAAAATGACGTGACTTGGGAACCCGTCAGTTTTATTGGCTGAGACCATCTCCCGATAATCTTCTCCATCAGCAGGTCGCCTGATTTCGTAACCTCTGAACGCCGCACTTTCCTTAACCATGGGAAAGCTCACTGGTCAGACTTCAGAGAATTAAGCAACCTTCCTTTCAGAGAACTGCCCAAACTTTCTGCTGTTCGGGTAGCAAAAGGGATTTCCCGAGACATCATCAGATCTGCAGACGCAAGCAACTCAGCCACTTTTAACGACGTAACGGTGAATATATATAATAATATTTAGACCCATCCAATCTATCAAGCTGAAAACAGTAAAGCAAGGCAGAGACGAAAAAAGTAAGAAGTATCTGTTGTGGCAACCCAAATTAATAATATGGCATCTCATATTGCTGCATCCAATACGGCATCTCTCATATAATAGGACGCGGTGCAACCGCCAATTCAGTCTTGCTCTGTCAGTCACTCGAGTCTAGGTTAGGTTAGGTTAAAGGACGCGCGATTCCATCTGGCAACCGCTCCACTCGGAGACCTATAGGTCCATTGTGTTCATCCTAGAAAAGAGTTTTGAGAGATAGAGGAAAAAAGGGTTTTTGATAGAGAAAATGAAGATAAGGGATAGTGTAGTAGAGTGAGAATCTACGGCTGAAGAGTTTGCCGTGTCGTCTTAAGCCATTTGAGTCTTCTGGCTAGTTGAAGTATTACTACTGGGTCAGTGTTAGAAAAAGATGACAAGTCATGTGACACTAATTCTCCCATTAGCCTATGCCTCACATTAATAAGTGCTGGCCAGTGGCAGAGTAAGTGTTCGATTGTCTCGATTACTTCTTCATCTTGACAGATCCTACAGTAGTCAATGCCGTCGCTATCCCATTTCGATGTCATAGCCCTAACCTTACAGTGACCTGTGATGATGCCCACCACGAGTTTTAAGTCAGGTTTTGACAATGACATCAGCGACCTTGTTCTCTTCTCCGAGAGCGTGGGCCAGATTCGTTTGGGGATGTTACAACCAATTTCATCCAGCCATTTTTGTTGGATCTTCTCAGAGTAGTGTTTGTGAATAACCTGCAGGAAATGGCACAGTGGTGGTTTAACCGAGTTGTCTACTTGAATTGTAGTTGATTCGGATCCTAATCTGGCCAGTTCGTCTGCAGTCTCGTTACCTGGGATGTTAAAGTGTCCAGGAACCCAACAGAGCTTGATGGATAACCCAGTGTTTTCCAAGGCTTCCCTGCAGTTCAAAACAGCCCTAGACTTGATTGTAAAGGAACTCAAGGCCTTCAGTGCCGCTTGACTATCGACATATATAGTCACCGGACTACTGACTTCAATGTTCCTCGTGACCAGCAGGTCAATGGCCTTTTTGACTGCAATGATTTCCGCCTGAAAAACGCTACAGTTGTTTCCAAGCTTGTAGGATTCACGAACGTTAAACGTATCACAGAAGACACCAGCTCCCGTTCCACACTCCATCTTTGAACCGTCAGTATAGACAGCTATGCCGCGGAAAGGTGGGTTGTTTTGAGCCCAGGTGTCTCTGTCAGGTATGTGTATGTCAGGTGGGTGGAAGCTTAGTCGTGGTGAAATATAGTCACTTGCAAAGTTTGTCTCTCCCACATTCCTTACACACCTTAGAATCGCAGAATGTCCAAAGGGTTGACTGCGCCATTCACCTAGTTCTCTGAGTCGAAGAGCACTCCTGGATGCCTGTTCCTCCACATATAAATTCAGTGGGCCTAGACCCAGTAGAGTATCCAATGCTGATTGAGGTGTGCTCCTGAAGGCACCCGTTATTAATAAGGATGCGGCTCGTTGAACTTTGTTAATATGTCGTAGATAATTTAACTTCTTCAGAGAATGCCACCATACTAGAGCTCCATAGGTTAGAATGGGGCGAACGATTGACTCATACATCCATTTGATGATGTGCGGTTTGAGGCCCCAGCTTTTGCCTATAGAATTCTTGTAGGAATAGAGTGCAATTAAGCCTCTCTTAGCTCGTTCCTCGGTGTTCCTCTTCCAACTTAGTCGGTGATCAAGGATAATGCCAAGGTATTTGGCTTCTAGCGAAAGGTTTAATCTGACTCCATCTAGTTTCGGTGGTGTAAATGTAGGGTATTTACGTCTCTTAGTGAAAAGGACGAGCTCTGTCTTTGATGGGTTCACGCCTAGTCCATTGCGACGCGCCCACCGTGATAGGGTGACTAGAGCTCCTTGCATTAGATCCGAGATTGTTTGCACGAATTTTTCCGATTAACAGGACGACGTCATCAGCGTATGCGACTACTTTCGTTCCTGT